TTATAAAAATAATACAGTAACAGTACATTAATAAAATTAGTACATTAAATAATACAGTTATTTATAAATTACTAAATTTATTTATAAAGTTATAAATACATCTAGTTTCTGCTTATTTTTCACTACTGATGGTGAATTGTGAATACGAAGGCCATTCTTTAATTCATCAAAATCATTTTTCAGACAATTAACATTTGTCACTGTTTGAGAATTGTGTCATACTCCTCATGTATTTGGAAACATTCACATGGTTGCCATAAAATAAGATAGTTTGTATTGCTTTAGTTAGTACAGTCATGCATCACATGGATACATTCCAAGAAATGCATCATTAGATGATTTCACTGTTGTGTAAACATCATTAGTGTACAGACACAAACCTCGATGGTATAGCCTATGACACCTTAGGTTATCTGATATAGCCTACTCTTCCTAGGCTAAACTTGTAGAGCATGTTACTGTATTGAATACTCTAGGTAATTGTAACACAATGATAATTATTTGTGTATCTAAGCATATCTAAACATAGAAAAGGTACATTCAAAAATGGTATAAAAGATTAAACATGATACACTTGTATAGGGTACTTACTATGAATGGAGCTTGCAGGACCAGAAGTTGCCCTGGGTGAGTCAGTGAGTGAGTGGTGAGTGAATGTGTAGGCTTAGGACATTACTGTACACCACTGTGGATTTTATTAATATATACAGTATTCACTTTGGCTACATTAAATTTATTTTAAAAATACTTTTTAATTTAATACATTAACATTAGCTTACTGTAATTTTTTATTTTGTGAATTTTAATTTTTAAAAATTTTTTGACAGCTGTACAAACACATTATACAACTGTACAAAAATATTTTCCTTCTTTATTTTTCTTGAGACAGAGTCTACTCTGTCACACAGGCTGGAGTGCAGTGATGTGATCACAGCTCACTACAGCTTCCACGTCTCAGGCTCAAGTGATCCTGCTGCCTCAGCCTATAGAGTAGCTAGGATTACAGGTGCACACCACCATGCCTAGCTAATTTTTGTATTTTTTGTAGAGACAAAGTTTTGCCATGTTGCCCAGGCTGGTCTGAAGCTCTGGGGCTCAACCAATTCGTCTACGTCAGCCTCCCAATATGCTGAGATTACAAGTGTGAACCACTGTGCCTGGACTTTCTTTCTTTATATCATTATTCTATCAGCTTTTTTTCTATTAAAATATATACTTTTTACTTTTTAAGCTTTTTTCTTAGAAGAAAAAAAGATGCAAACACACACATTAGCCTAGGCCTACACAGGGTCAGGATCATCAACAGCAACTGTCTTCTACCTCCAGATCTTGTCCCACTGGAAAGTCTTCAGGGGCATAGCACATATGGAGCTGTCATCTTCTATGATAACATGCCTTCTTCTGGAATACCTCCTTAAGGGCCTCCTGAGGCTGTTTGGCAGCTGTTTTTGAAATATAAATGAAAAGAATATACTCTAAAATAATAAAAAAAAATTAGTATAGTACAGTAAATCATAAATCAGTAGCAGTCATTTTTGTTATTATCAAGTATTATATACTGTATATAATTGTATATGCTGTACTTTTTTTGTTGATTTTTTTTGGAGACAGAGCCTTGCTCTGTCGTGGAGGCTGGAGTGCTGTGGCACGATCTTGGCTCACCACAACCTCTACCTCCTGAATTCAAGCAATTCTC